TAACATTCGAATGTCCTCTTGGAGAACTGAAAGTTTCGTAAGGGTCGCTCAGTAAACATTGAAGTTATCTGGCAATGAATTTTGAATGCTGATTCTCTGAGTTGGGTCCAAGATTAGTTCACTTTGTGGATAGCTGCGCCCGCTATCCCACAGAACTCAGGATATTGAAGAGCTATAGCCTTGAAATTTGGAATATAAGCACATTGGAATATCATCAAGAAGAACTGAAAGTTTCATTTGGGTCGCTCAGTTAACAATGAAGTTATGCAGAAATACAGTTTTGCATGCTCTGAGATGGTACTAATGTGTGTATTTCTAGGGTATCTGCTGGCATTGACGCCCGGACTAGAGCACACTTATTTGCTGCTTGTTGTTGTTGTTTTTGTTGTTGGGGCAAGTCTGTTAATGTTGCTGCTGCTTATGTTTTGCTGCCTGTTCGACGTGGTTGTTGTTGTTGTTGTCATTTGCTAAATATGTTGTTTTTATGCGTTGGCAAATGGCAAAGATGGACAAAAAATTAACTGCAGTTGCTTTTTAGTTGGCACTTGAAAGCAATAATGACATTCGACGCCACATACCAAGCCGCCTGGCCAGACCAGGCCAGGCCGCCAATCTCGACCAGCAACTGGACGCAGCCTGGGTGTGCATGCGTGTGTGCGCGTGTGTGTGTGTGTGTGAGGGACGTCAATCGTTTGCGATCGCTTCGATTATGGGCAAAATGAAAAAAAAAGATAAGCAGCAGCATTGATTCGCAGACGCCGGTGCCTGCCAACTGCTTTTGGCCAAGTAACCGAAAACTATTTCTCATATAAAACGATAAATTAAATGCGACGTTTTTTTTCCCGTACGTTCGAAATTCTTGTCGTTCAAAATTCCATTGCTGGCAATAACTTCAAGCAGCCGTGTACGTGCCAATGGCCGCTGATGAAGCTGCGCAGAACGCAGCTCAATCTTGACCAGAAGTCACAGCACACAAACTGCCAGCGGCAATTGTGTGTAGAGCCTGTGATTTCTACCCTCGACATTGCCTGGGGTGAGTCTGGGTTGAGCTACCCCTAAGATGCGGACCTATCATCTGGCGGGGTAAGCTAACGGCTGTTGTATACCTGAAGATCAGCGCGCGTTTCATTGGATGACAGGGCGTCCTCCATTGATCTACCTGATGCTCGGCAAGACAAAGCGCCTGAAATAGACGCCCCGAGCGGCTGCTCAGGGTGGTTCCTGGCTGGCACCAAGGAAGTGCACAACCGGAACCAAACAAAACAACGGTCCGTTAGGCCAGCCCCGGGTTTCCGTTACAAACAAAAAACAACAAAAAGCTGAAAAGCTTGAAAAAGCGCGGGAAATCGGAATACAAAAGCCGATTGGATTAATTTGAAAAAAAAAAGAAATAACATAAAGAGCTGCAGAAATTTATAAACTTTAAGCAATTGCTCAGAATTTGGAGTTGAAAAAACTTAAAGTTCTAAAATTTTCTAAGAGTTCTAAGCAAATCTTTTAGAACCTTAAAGTTAAAATAGACTCAGGCAACAGCTAGAATTTTTAGGATTAAAAACATAAACTCTGATAGATCTTGGGCAAAATGAATGGATACCAATTGAAACAAAACTTCATTTTCTTTTGTCAATTTTGTATAAACACAGTTTTGCTTCAAGAATGTTCTCATCTTTAATAGACATTTCTTTAAGTCAAATTTTTGTTGTGATTTTCTGGCTCAATTATTGTTGTTATGAAAGATCAAAGAATGTTTAACGCAAGCAGATCTTTGATATTCTTCTTGATATTCGATCAAATAATATTTAAGACAAGCAAGATATTTGATATATTTCTAGACTGCGTCAACACTTTTCCATTTAATGAATGGGTCATATTGAAGCTTGTAATTGTTAGACTTTATAAAGATGCATGTGCTCGAAAATGGAAGCTATACGATATAGGGGCTCAATATAAGCATGGCCTAGTTAATAACTAGCACTTGGACTCAGACGGAAAGCTACCTAGAAGGGACCTCAGGCAGGAAGGCCTTCTAAAGTTTATCTTGTGTTTGAACTAGTTCTTTGTTATCTAGCTTTAAGCTAATCGATTATACTTAAGCTTGGCGCATCTGGAACTACTTAAGGTTTCAGCTTGGCTTGGCTTGAATCAAACAGACGTACAGACACGCGCATATATATGCCCAGCTTGTCATATTGATATGGTATAGACTATAGGGTCGAAGTTGAATTCTTTTAAATAATTAACAGAAATAGCAACAAATGTTTTTGTTCTTTAAAAAGTGTTTCCTCTTCTTCAGCTATCAGCTATTGAGCATATGAAAAAATGATTGATATATATAACAAAAATTTTATCTAAATAAAAGCTAAGAAAATTATAAAAATATAAAAATATTTTCATTCATTTGAAAACAATGCTCAAAAGTTTTATGAAAATGTGCTGATAATAAAATTTGATTGGAGAAAATCAAGATAATCTTTGGGCAACAAAACAAAAAGGGGATCCGTATCCCCATCCCAGTATAGGTCTAAGCAGAAGGCTAAATGGAGATATTTTTTAAGCAGTTGGTTTGATATAATTATTAAAAGTATGTTAATAATAATTATATTGTAATTAATTATATTTATATTTATAATATATATTCTATATCACCTCTGTATGTATTAACAAAAGATCTACTTACGTGTGCCATTCGCATTGCGTCCAAAGATCTTGCCCTGCGGACTGAGTATGGGACTGGATGAGGCTGACGGCGCGCCGGAGAGTGAACGTTGACCCTCCGAGAGTCCGCTGGCCAGGGACAGATTGTTGACATCGTCCTGCTTGAGCAGCTCAATGCTGCTGCTTGTGGTGAGCAACTGGGGCAGGGACTGGACCAGGCTGCCGGCCGAGGAGCAGCTGGTGGCGGCAGCGAGGCTTCCGCTTCCTGTGACAACATTGTGTTGACTCTTGCCAGCTGGAGATGGAGCTGTGCTCGAGGCTGGGGAGGCAGCCGCCGCTGCTGCAGCCGCTGCTGCTGCTGCAGTTGTTGTTGTTGTGATAATTGTTGTTGTTGTTGCCGCAGCCGCTGTGGTTGGAGAATGCGCCTCCATTGTTGTGTGTGAATGCGGCACAGCAAGTTGGCTAAAGGATACGCGCGGAGGACGACGACCAAACAAGAAGCAGGCACAAGCACAAAGAACCAAAACAAAATGCATGCAAAATCCAACTCAAAAATGTGCAACTAAGTAAACTAAGGTAAAGGGATGCACTACGGAAAGGAGGAGCACACGCAACTACACTACACTTCAGGTTCGAGAATCGTATTTTGTTAGCTGTTGAACACTTTTTAGTTCGCTTTGATTTTCGATCTCTCTGCCATCCGCTCAGCTCGAGGCCAGACGAACTTCTGTTCTCGGCTACGAGGTTGGGCAGCTCGGAAACCCTTTTGCGCCCGACGCGTCGCTGCTTTCGTTTGCTTCTTGTTCTTCTGCTGCTTCTACTTCCAGCTCAAGGGAAACATCTTTGAGATACTTTCGAAGAGAGCCGCACGATAGAAGAAAAAAACACGCACATAAAATCACGCAGCGCCAGAAAGGGTTAAAAAAAAGAGGCAACAAGAAGAAGAGGAGGCTGGAGAGGATTTGGTATGCGAACCCGAAGACGAAGACGCAGACGCAGCCGCAGATGCTGACAATAACCGAAGGCATTGGGCGCTACCAGTTTTCACTCGAGACCAATGAGGGTAAGTTTTTCAGACGCGTTTCTCTGCGACGCTCTCTCCCTTTCTCTCTCTCTCTCTCTCTCTCTCTCTCTCTCTCGTTCTCTCTGAGCGCGCTTCGTGCTCCGCCTCTCGCCGCAAAACAATCTTAAGGCTGTGCGCCAGTCATTTGGGTGCGTGAGCGGGAATCCTTTTGCCCAGCTGCGCAGACATTTTGATCAACCGTTTGCTGTACCCCAGTGCTATTTTAGAGGGTATCATCAAGTTGGTCAAAGGTCAAAGTTGAAAATATTTGCGACAAAGATCTCAGATACTTTAAGAGCCACCATAGCTTATTTGTAAAAAGAGTTCTCGTTAAAATATGTTTTCGATAACCGCCTTCTTTAACTAATAATCGATAAATATCGATTAACCTGCCCGATTTCTTGAGCATATTTCAAAAATTGTAGTAGCTAGATATAACAATTTGGTACTTATAAATAGAACAAAAATATTTTCACTCGTATTTCAAGTTTTTTTCGACAGCTTTTCCCATTTTGCCAAAATTGAGAGATATCGATAATAATCGATAATAGATAATAGAACTAAGGATTACAAATTCCGTATTTAGGTACAACAATGGAATAATATCTTGAATATTTATGTATATATTAATTCTCGTAAAGAACTATTTTCTAATAATCGATTAAGATCGATTTACCTGCCCGATTTTTTTAGCATATTCCAAAGATTGTAGTAGCTAGATATAACAAATTTGGTATTTATAAGCAGAATAAAAATATTTCACATTTCGGAAGCTGCCCTCACTCGTAGTTAAAGTTTTTTTTGACAGCTTCTGCCTTTTTCCACAAATTTAAATATATCGATAACAATCGATAATATATACTATGTATCCCTAAAGGAAGTAGCTACTATTTTTGGTTTCTACACATATTATAATAATATTTATGACAATCAAAAAATAAACACAAAACTTACTTAGAAATTCATTTTCTATATAACTATGCTCAAGCAAGGCAGCATATACACTGGCATACAGGATATCTGCTAGCCGGGCAGCCTCTTCGAGAGCATCTCACGTTTTTTTTCTGATATTTTCCGTTAAAAATGTGAATACATTATAAAGATATTTTAATTAATGCTCATACCGAAGTTCAAGTCGCGGAACCTTCGTTTCGAATTGATTTTTTCTATTTGCGGCATTTTTATGAAATATGACGAACGTTTTCTTGTATTTTCTTTTTTTGTATATACAAAAACAGTTTACAATAGATTTGTTTTTCTTTTTTTTATGATTATATATATAAGGGGAGGGGGGCAGGGGAAATACTTTTAAAGATTGCCTTTACGCTACGAGAGGGAGACGGGGGATGTGAGTTAGTAGGATGTGAGTTATGTACGAGTAGATTACACTAGGTTGGGTTTACGTTAGCAGTCGTTAGAGATTCGCAGCCGCAGTCGGAATCCATTCAGTCATAGTCCATTCCCGGACAGGAAGGTGCTACAAGTGCGGGATTCCTTGGGACTTGGGGCTGGTGCACTATAAGTTATTCACGCTGATGATCTGATTGATCCAGCCAATGAAGGAGGAGACCTTCACATAGACGCCGGGCACATCGACCCGACCGCAACCGAAGCCCCACGACACGAGTCCGGCCAGCTCGAAGAAGCCATCGTCCTGGCAGACCAACGGACCGCCGCCATCGCCTTGGCAGGCATCGTGCCCCTCCTCGCCGCCGGCACAGAAACTGGACGCCGGCAATATGAAGATCTTCTCCGTGACCGCGTTCACCTTGCGTATGCATTCCGCATCGCTCACAATGGGTATCTCCGCCTCGCGCACACGCAACGGTATCGGACCAGCTGACAAATGGAGATATGGAGTTTGAGCGAGATCTTCAGCTGGTGGCCTCTGTACTCACCTTCGCCCATGTAGCCGTAGCCGGTGACCGTGCAGCGCTTGCCGGCCGTATGGCTGACGCCGCGCGCCGGCAGACAGACCAGACAGACGCCATCCCGCAGCTCCGCCTGGCCGTGCAGCTTGAGCAGCGCAATGTCATTGTCCAGCGTCTGGCTGTTGTGATTGTGGTGTATATAGGTCGTGGCCACGCGCAGCGTCTGGGCGCCGGGACTGCCATATTTACGGGTCAGATCATAGTCACCCACGCGCACATAGATGGCATCGCCGGAGCGCACAATGCTGCGGAGCAGGAAGAAAGGAAAGAAAAAGACAAAGATTAGATGGAGACTACACTCAGAGAAAACTAGCCAATAAACTAATTCTATAAACTAATTGGAATTTATGTCTTCTAAAATAATTAATTAAAAGTTTACTTGATTATAAAATAATTTACAATTTGACTTGATTTCAAGTACGAAAAAGACTTGGATTAAGTACGAAATAATTTGTTCAAGAACTAGAAAACTTGAAATAAGCAAACTGAAAAAATATTTAAAATTCACTCGATTTCAGATAAGAAAATAAGTCAGAAAATACTTGGATTAAGTACAAAATAATTCGTATCGAGAATATTAAAACGGATAAAGAACAAAATTTAAGTTCACTTGAATAAAATCTAATTTAATTTAGTAAATTATTTGATTTCAAGTACGAAAATAAGTCAAAAACGACTTGGATTAAGTACGAAATAATTTGTTCAAGAACTAGAAAACTTGAAATAAGCAAACCGAACCAGTTTGTATGCAGAAGATTGAAGCAGATATAATAAATAAAGACGAGCTAAGCGTGAAACTGTTTTTTCTTTTAATATGAGAAAATATTGTAAAAGAATTCTAGGTTTCTAAGTGGAATATCGGGTTCACGAATCGGGAATACCTTAGTTTGAGCCAGCGAAGAAATTAAGCAGTTCAAACCACCAAAGATTTCCCTCAAACTTGACCAGCTTTTAGGAACTTTAAAGCATAGTTGCATTTGTAGCTGTACTTTTTCGCTAAGTGTACTCACTTGGTGACGCAGTGCGCCGCGGTCAGCACCCACTGGGTGCCGATGAGCGCCGCTCCACACAGATACTGATTCAGGGAATTGATGAGCGCCACCTGCCAGCACCATTCGCCGTTTTCGCCATCCTCGCCGCCGACGACGCGCGCCCGGCGGCGACTGTAGTTCGCCTGCAGCTGGCCGGGATTGGAGTAGCTGTTGCGCTGATAGTATTCCGGATAGACAACGGCTGCTTGGTCGGGCTGATCGTGGTAGGAGCGCAGCTGGTTGCTCTGCAGGCCGCTGGTGTCCACCAGGTCGCCGAGCTTGTCGTTGTGTATCTGGATAGGCACAATGGCGGAGCCGAGCACCAGACGCTCGTTGGACTTGTTAATGCTGCCGCTGCCGCCGCTGCCGGCATAGGAGTTGGCCAATTGTCGGGCCGATCGCTGCAGCCCGTACTTGGCGCGGGCGTATGTGACATAGTTGAGCGCTGGCGAGCTGCGGGAGCGACCCGTGCGCAGCGTACCCTTGACCCCGCACACGTACTTGGAGTAGACATGCGGACGTGGCGTTGTCGTCGTGGTGCTCGTCGTCGTCGTCGGCGGGGGTGGGGGTGGTGGTGGTGCTGTCGCCGGTGGCAGGGCCGGCTGCTGTACCGGACCGGGTCCGTAATAGTCCGCATAGCTGGGCGGCGGCAATCCCGGCTGGTAGCCATGCGTCAGATGCGGCGGCGGCGGCGGCGGCTGATTGGACATGTAGCCGGAGGGCGCGTAGGGTGATTGCGGCGGCTGCTGCGGCGGCTGTGGGGCGTAGGGCGGCGGCGGTGGACCCATGGGCGGATAGTTGAAGTAGGAGGTGTCGTTGCGTGTCTGGAACTGTTGCTTCTCCAGGATTTTGCTCTTGGGCGCACAGCAGATCTGGCCGGAGCGCTTGCATCTAAACAGATCCGTCATCTCAGCGTTTTCTATAGAGGATTACCATTAGACTTACGAGGATTACGTGAGGATTTGCTGTACTTACTGAAACAGGTGAAGCTGAGCAGGCTGACAATGCACGAGCCGGGACATTCCTCGCGCGGATCCGGACTCGGCGTATTGGGCAGCACATAGGGCGGCGCCGTGGGCGACGATGTGGGCGGCGGCGTCGGTGGCGGCAGCTTGGGCTTGGGCGCGCCTGCACGCGAATTGTCACAGCACACCGAGCCCTTGGAGCAGGTGGTGGGATTGCTCAGGAGCACCGAGGGTCGTTCACAGAAGGCGGCCATAATGTTGAGCAGACAGAAGCCGGGACAACGTTGCACCGCAGGCGGTGCCTGCGGCGGTGGAGCGGGTGCTGAGGGTGAGTTGAGCGTGCTCTCCGCAAAGGATATGAACTGGGAGAGCAGATCCCCGCCAGACTGTGCGGGTGACGCGGCTGCTGGTGCCGGAGCCGGCGCGGCGGGACGCGCTGGCTTGGCCGCTGGCTTGGCGGCAATCTTGGTCGCGGGCTTGCTGGGCGCTGGCGTCTTGGCGGGCGCCGCTTCGGAGGCGCTGCCCGTCACACAGCAGCTGCCCTCGCCGGGACAGAAGGCCTCGGAATCGATGTCATCGCAGAATATGGCAAAGATGCCGTTCATGCACTCGCCCTCGCACTCCTTCAGCACCTGGCCCTGATTCTGGCCGGATTTCAACTTATTGTTGTTGTTGCTTGTGCTTTGGGTTTCTTCCTGCTCGTCGTCGTCCTCCTCTTCCTCCTCCTCCTCCTCGGCGGCAGCCTCTGTTGTGGTGGTGGTGGTCGTTGTGGGCTTCTTGTGCTTGCCAAGCTTGCTCTGGTTGTTGTTGTTGTTGTTGTTGGTCTTGGTGCGCGCCGGCTCGGGCGTGGTGCTGGTGGTTGTGGTCGACGTGGTCGTCGTGGTCGAGCTGGTGCTGCTGCTGGTGCTGCTCGACTTGGTGGCCGCGGTCTTGACCAGCGTCTGATTGCTCTTCAGGTTGCCCATGTGCTCTGCAGAAAGATTGGGCTTTGAATGGGATTCTTTTGATATATAGGGTATCTGTTAGTCGAGCACTTACTGGCCGGTATGTAGATGTCCTTGGGCAGCTTGCCATTCGCGTATTCGTCCAGCGAGACGCAGCACTTGGTGCCCTCCTTGCAGAGCCCGCCGCTGGTCAAATAGGCCTCACAATATTCAGCAATGCGATCCGCCACGCAGACGCCCGTGCAGTTCTCTAGGAGATCAGACAGAAACCTGGTTAAGTTCGGGTTGGATTATGATTGGCTTAACTTACTGTTCTCATCCTCGGTTTTGGTGGCCTCTTCCTTGTCCTTGGGCTTGCCCGTGGTGGACTTTTTGGTGGTCGCGGGCTTTCTCGTTGTGGAGCTGGCGGGCGGCGCCGGGCTGGCAGCCGGACGCTTCGGCTGCGGCTTTGGCTTAGGCTTGGCCGTAGTGCTGGCCGTGGTCGTGGTGCGTCTGGTGGTGCTGCTGCTGCTGGTCGCGGGCGTGGTGCTGCGCTGCGTGGTGCTGCTGCTGCCAGTCGTGCTTGTGGTTATTCTCGGCGTCGTGGCGGCGGTTGCATTTTTGCCTAGATGGAGAGGGTTTTAGTCGAAGCAGGATTTGGAGCTCTGGCTACTCACCTGGCGCATTCTCTATGCAGCACTTCATGCTGGGCGAGGGGCAGGGCACATCGTCGAGCACCTCGTAGCAGATGAGCGTGGCCAGCGTGTGCACACAGACGCCGGGGCAATCCTTGGCATCCGCAGTGCTGGTGATTGTGTCCAGCAGCCCGGACAGAAAGCTGCCCGCCAGCGATTCATCCTGTGCCCAAGCCGGCGGCGGCGCACTGCCCACCAGCAGCAGCAGCAATAACAGGCAGATGCTAAAGATTTGGCTAAAAGTTCTCATGTTGCTTGGTAACTTTGTCATTTGTTGTCCAGTTGAAGTTAGATCACGTGCTCATCTGCAACAGAGAGAGAGAGGGGGGTTAGAAAGAGATGGAGAGAGCGAGAGCAAAAACGAAATTGGCCAAGTGAAAGTCGAGCTTAGTCAGCGCCCAGATGTAACCCCAAAGGCCTGTGACGTAACAAAGCTCAACGTTGAGGCATCTTGCCGAGCCGAGCTGAAAGATCATTGGCCTAGAAAGCGCTCAGAAAGACGCCACCTGGCGGCAGGCAGACGACGCTGCACTATAAGAAAAATCATAGTAAGATACACTTAAAGAATTCTCAATGCAAGTAAGAAATTTCTAAATGTTTCTACTTAAGAAAACAAATTTCTTAAGATTAGAACTTTGAGCGCGACCTTGATCAGATTTTTTTTGTTAACAACATTTCTTCAGACGTTTCTCTGAGTGTGTGATAAGCGCAACTGGTTCCAGATTTTGAAGTTGCAGCGGGAGCAACTCCCAAAACCAGTTTCGCTGCTTGCCGCGCCACATTCTGGGAGCTGGTTCTGCGACAGGTGCGTCCCGTAACTGTTCAGCTAGTGTCGAGTGTGTGCCCCATTTCGGATATTACGTATACGTACACGGAATTCTGGGCCTAATCGAAATGTATTTGGGTTGCGAACGCGCATGGAAATGCTGAAGTTAAATTGAAGTCGAATTCAAGCCGGTTTTTTCTTTTTTCCAGCTGCAAAATAATTGTGAATACCTGACACAAATATGGGATAAGCCAGGCCAAAATGAAGAAACAGAACAAGTTAAGCATAATAAAAAACCTGCTACACGATGAAAACTTCAAGGCAGGGCCGAATTTGTTTTTAAGCTATTTACACGAACTTAAGCATTAAACGCTTTATGAATGAAATAGAAAGTACATTAAGCCAAAAAAAAGAAAAAAGAGAAGAAAATTGAAACCTGGTGCGATATCTCAACTGAAAGATCTCTAGCGAAAGTGCTGGCAATTGTTGACAATGGAGGCAGAATGGAAAAATTGTCGAGCTGCCGGTCAAAACCCCCCCCCAAAACCCCGAAACTCGCCCGCTGCAGTTGTCTCACGTGCGAGACGCTTTCACGTCGAAACCGGAAATATTTCTTAAAGGGCCAACTATTTAGAAAAGTAACAAAAAAAAAACAACGAAACCAGGCGTGCGACAATCCTCATTCTGCACGTTAAAAAGAAAGAGAGAGAGAGAAAAAACAACCGCTAGAAAGCGCGAGCCTGTCACGAAACCGTTTTCTAAGCCAAGCACAACCCGACAACTCTAGAGTGTGCACGTATGTATTTTGGGTCAGGCGCGCGCATGCTGTCTCTGTCTAACGCGTGGGCAACGCCTACGCCATTGTGAATACCAAGTCCGGCACCAAATTCGATAAGTGGGTCAGATGCATAAGGCGCGACGGCAACGGCAAATACGTCACACCCCGCTGCCCCCCCCCCCCCCCCCCCCTCTCTCTCTCTCACACACCCTCGTCAAGTTTAGCATGCGAATATGCGTTCTTGCTGCCAGAAATTTCAAGCTCTTCACACCAAAAATGTGTAAAAGAAATTCTTTCATTGAATGATGTCCAAAACAAACAGCAACAGCAACAGAAACGCGCATTCAAATGCCGATCGAACGGGTAACATTAACGGTAAACGACACGGGCGTTAGGCATAGCCTACACTCAGAGAAAAGCAGCAAGCACTTGCTATACAAATCAAGTCAAGGTCAACATTAGCATACAAATTCTTCTAAAACTTTGATTATAAGAGCTGTTATAACTGTTATACGCTTTTTTGAGCATATCAATTCTTGTTAAGTGTTTTATTGGGAAAACATTTATTGAAATTTGAATTACAGTCTTTCTAGAATTATCTACACTTTGTTTTCTCTGCGTGTGGCACAGTTGAAATTAGATTTTTGATCAACAACTATTTGAAAACTGTTTTTGTTTTTGTGCTCTTTCATTTTTAGCACTTCCATTAAAGTCCCGCGACACACACACACACATGCACAAACATACACACACACACACACATAGCACTAACCAAAGACAGCGACTGCGGACCAAAGCCAACGGCAGTCTTTGCCTTTGGGGCGCACACACGAACAAGTTAAGCGACTTTTTTTTTACTGCTTCTTCTTCGGCTCTTTCTGAATTAATTGTAACGGTAAGCACAAGACACATAACTGTGCACTGGATCAGCAGGACAGCTTGGCGACATAGACGACGTGTCGAGAATGCGGCACAGTTTTCCAATTGCTGCGTATGCAAAGTTCCTCCAACACACACACACATACGACTAGCTAATGGATTGGGTAAACTGTGTGAGGGGGTAGGGGGAGCGCTTAACAAACCGTTCTTAATGCCGGGGCGACTGCACCTTGCGAAAGCCAGCAACAAACTGACCATTGCTCAAGGTTCTCGCCGCTTGGTAAGCCGCCGCCAAGGCCAGCGGCCACAAGCTGGAGAAAGTGAGCAAAAGAAGAATACCACAGCGAGGCGAGTAAAAGACGCAAGAGAGCAAACGGCGCGCTCTCTCTCTCTCTCTCTCCGCCACCTGTTAGGCTGCTGCTGCAGGCAGCGCTGTAGCGCAGGCCGCCCGCTGCGCTGCGCTGCTTGTTTACAGCTAGTCATAAAGCGAGGATCACGTCATGACAGCTGTAATCATTGGCACTTGAGGATTTCGCCGACCTTTTTCATTTTTCGGCACTAAACATAAGCCCCGGAGTGTGGCCACTTAGCGGATTATGGCTGCAATTGCCTGGCGCGTTCATTTTTGCTCGCTTCCCTTTTGCGCATTATTCGCAGGGCTTAGTTATGCAAATCTCAAGTGCACCCTGTGCAAAAAAAAAAAAACCTATGCAAATTTGGCAAAGGAGTTTTACCTGAATTTGCGTATGGAAATGCAAATGCAAGGGCGAGCTGTTGACGTTTTACTGTTGTCAAACATTGTTCAAATGCAATTATGAGTGCAGAAATCGATACATTTGCATAATGGCTGGGAAAATGGCCTAATCGCTGGCTTAAGCCCAGCGTCACGTGGTTAAGCGAAAAACTAACCTCAAAAATTTCACTTTTACCATGTCTAGCTAATTAGCCCAGCCAGAATCAAATGTCTATGAAAAGGACAACCTTTTGAGCGATGAGCAGCTTGTCTCGCCGTTTCGCGGATGTTCCCAGGCTCAAGACAGTGTCCTGCCCCTGCGAGACTTCTTCACACGGCAGCGAAATTTGAATAAAACGCTGCATGAAAAAAAAAAAATTGAAAGTGGTAAAAAAAAAGTGAAAAAAATCGGAAAAATAAAAAAAAAAACGCCGTAAATTCTTATTTATCATTCTGTGCGTGTGCGTGCGAGCATTTTATACCTGGCAACCCTGGCCCCTGGGCAAAGGCAAATAGATAAGGCGGCCGTCGGCTTGTGTGTTGGTGGTGGTGGTTTTCGCCAACAGGATCTCGTCCTGCGTATGCAAATCATTTCGTTCGTGATGATGATTCCCTTTCAATTCAAACAATGCCGAGGGTCGCCCTGGTCCTCGTCCTGGTCCTGGTCCTGCTCCTGTCCTTTGGCCACACATGTTTTGTGTCTGCGTTTTTTATAAATTGATCGTGCTATTTAAAAAAAAATGATTAAACCCTTTGCTTATGCACACTTTTTTTTTGGCTGATTTTTCCTCTTTTTTATACCGTTTGCGTGTGTTTTTTTTTTTTCTGCTCATCCCGTTGTCGTATTTTCACTTTTTCGTGGGAACTTTGGAGATTCGGGGAATGGGAATGCATTAGAAGTGGGAATAGAAATGGGAATGGCATGGATGCTTAGTTTAGTTAAGAATTTAAGAGATTTCCTAAAACTTAATTTAAATAAAGTTTACTTTAAGTTATTAAAATTTTTAAAACTAAAGAAATATATTAATCACAACTCAAGGCTATTTTAATAGTAATATGTTTACATTGTGGTTAGATATTTTGCTTTCAGACTTCTAAGATAATGCCCAAAGCGATTTATGCTTAATCAGTTTACCCGCGTGCCCTCAACCCCTTGGCAAGAGCGATTCACCCCCCGCAAAGCCTGATCTGATTTAGGGACAGCCGAGAGTCTGGTCGAGTTCGGAATTTGCATATTGAGGATCATGTAAAAAGGGGCTGAGGGCTTGTCATGGGAACAAAAGATGCATTCGTTGTCGAAGAATGGTTGGAAATCAATATTTGATGTAATTAATTAACAGCATCGAATGAAAAGAAAATGAAAAGAAACCAACAACAATATTAACATTTAGCAATCAATTGAAGACAATTCAATAACAACGACATTCGATATCCAACAGTTAAATGTTTTGCGGGCAAAATTGATTTTCAATTTCGCAAGCTTAATTTGGAGAAAAAAGCGTATTGCTTGCAGAGAAAACTCAGATGTCTATAATGACAAAGCGCGTGAGAATCGACAGAGTTTTTTAGAAATATTTTGGAAACGGGAAGACAGTTTTGACAGCCAAAATTCTAAATGTATTCCCAATAAATATCACAGAAGCGTAAATGTCTTTCTTGTACTTTTGAATGTAACGATAATTTTTGATTGTTATTGAATTGATGTGGCAACCTCGTCGGCGCTGCCAACTGAATGGCAAAAAAGTATCGATGCTGTTAACACACACACGCACACACACACACACAGCTATCGATATTAAACGTACGTGTCCAAAATCAGCTGCGTCGAATGAAACAAACAATGCGCTGCATAAATACCTCGCAACTGGCTGCCCATTAAGAAATTGAACTGACGAAATCAGTTGGATTTAGTTGTAAACAGCTGGCGAACGAATTAGCAGAAGACAGCAGACAAGGCAACAATGACAACACCTGGAAAAGTGCGCCGCAACGTGCTGGCCACAAGTGGACTGGGCCTGGCGCTGCTCGTTTTGTTGTACTGGACAAAACTGACGGGCGGCTACTTTGCAGCGCTCGATGAGGCCGCAACAAACAAGAACTGTTTCTGTGAGGTAGAGGCGTGGCCGAAAGAGAAACTTTATCCAGCTAGGCGCTTAACTAATCGAATGTGTGTTTTGCTTGCAGCTGGAAGGCTCCATCAACGATTGCAGCTGTGATGTGGACACGGTCGATCATTTTAATAACATGAAGGTCTATCCCAGGCTGCAGAGTCTGTTGGTGAAAAACTTCTTTCGTTTCTACAAGGTTAACCTGAAGCAGGACTGTCCCTTCTGGCCGGACGACAGCCGTTGCGCCATACGCTTCTGTCAGGTGGAGAACTGCGAGGAGAAGGCCATACCGGAGGGCATCAAGGATAACACCGAGCACAGAGACAAGGCGGCATCGTACAAGGTGAGCTAAATATGGCACGTAGCAAGTTCTTCAATAACTCTTTAGACATATATTTGTATAAGCTAGTGAGGTACAGTGATGACTGCCTTGAAGAAACAGTTGAAAATTCTTCTATTGGAAATTTGCGAGTGTCAAGAAGATGACATCTCCGCCTTTATTAAGTACATATATATATATATAGTTGTTATAGCTAAGTTCATTCTGTTTTATCCTAGGGAAACTTGGCATAGATCTGTCCTTTTGCCCGACGATCAGTATATCATATAACTTCCTTAGGCGTGATCTCTCAAAGAACTTCATAAACTCGATTCTTCATTGGAGCATTCACTGTATTTGTTATCAATATTGATTTGCGATGAAGAGGTTCCTTTAAATTACTTTATTATCTTGGTGCTCAACGGCGTCTTGTCAACGGGGGAATGCTATAAATTCATGTACTATCTACAACTTTCTGAATGAACGTGTTGTACCTGTTGTTGTTGTCGACGTCTGCAATGTCATAATCAGTGCTTGGCATCTTTTTGAGTTCCGCAAAGCCACTTAAACACTTAAGCTCTGGGTGGCTGCAGAGTGATAAGCAAATTGTCGAGTCACGCATCGAAGCAATTGCTTTCCTTGAGATTCTGTTTATAATCCTTTGTTTATGCCTTGGGCCTGACTCTTGCTTAATCTTCTTTTTTTTGGAGATTCTTTTTTGGTTAGTCTTAAAGCTTGTTTCATAGAAAGGATATAGCATCTGTAACCGGTTGGGGCTAATCCTTAAGGCCAACTCTTGATATGGCGGGCAGCTGACGTGTTGAGGCAATGCTTGAAGTCTTCTTTAAGCCAACTGTAGCTTAGCTGCCAACTGACGTGGCCTGTTGATTCACAAGTCGCAGCTCATTCATACGCCCCCCTTTTTTCTGTTGTTAATTGTTTTATTCTGCTTAACAGCAATTGTTGGCGTTGCGTAAGCTTTATTTGCACAGCTGAAGTCTCGCCTTTTGCACATTCATTAAAGTTGACTTCCTCAATTATCTAGTACACGCGAGAGGCGCAGGTGGACAGAGGCTGCTCGGAGGCGGAGGACTTTGACAGCGCATTGGGTTTCCTGGACACGAGCATTAGTGATCAGGCGCACAAGGAGTTCGAGCTGTGGGCAAAGCACGACGAGGCCGAGGAGGACTTTTGCATTATGGATGATCATGATGCGGATGCACAGTATGTCGATTTGTTGCTCAATCCGGAACGTTATACGGGCTACAAGGGCGACTCGGCGCATCGCATCTGGAACAGCATATATCTGGAGAATTGTTTCGGTGGCAACAACGAGACGTCCAATAAATTCTCCAGCTATATGCCGCACATGGAGCTGCGTGATGTTTGCCTGGAGCAGCGCGCTTTCTATCGCATCATCTCGGGCCTACACTCCAGCATCAATATACACCTATGCTCCAAGTATTTGTTATCCGAAACGAAAGACTTTCTGGATCCACAGGGCATTTGGGGGCCCAATGTAAAGGAGTTCAAGCGTCGTTTCAGTCCCGAAACAACAAGCGGCGAGGGTCCACACTGGCTGCGAAATCTATACTTCATATATCTGGTGGAGCTGCGCGCCCTGGCCAAGGCGGCGCCTTATCTGCGACGCGAGAACTACTACACGGGCATTGCCGAGGAGGACGAGGAGGTCAAGCTGGCCATGCACGACATGCTGTCGGTCATTGAGTGAGTATTGAATACCTTAACTAAATAAATTCTCACTAACTTGACTGTCTTTTTTGCATCAGATCCTTCCAGTCGCACTTCAATGAGAATGCGCTCTTTAGCAGCGGCATCGCCTCCATTAAGTTCAAGGATGATTACAAGGAGAAGTTCCGGAATATATCCAGAATCATGGACTGTGTGGGCTGCGACAAGTGCAAGCTGTGGGGCAAATTGCAGACCCAAGGCCTGGGCACCGCACTCAAGATACTCTACTCGGAGAAGCTCAACTTGGCAACCGAAAGCGGTCTGTGGGACAAACCACACATCGAGGCCGATCCCATTTTCAGGCTGTCGCGCACAGAAATCGTAGCATTATTCAATGCCTTCGGCAGGTGCGAGTCTTTTCTCTAAATATCATACCAGAAAACTAAGTAAATAATGTGTGTATTATGTTCTAGATTATCTACCAGCATATATGAGATGGAGAATTTCCGGCGAGTGCTGAGATAGCCCAAAGGACGTTAACGCCCCAAAAAAATAAAAAAAAAAAACACGGCACAAATCCAATTCCCTTCAATAGAGCTAGACGCTACGAATGCCCAAAAAAAAAAGAAAAGAAATTGATGAGCGCACATCTAAAGACATTATTGATATGGATCTTATGTACGGTTTCCATCCAAAAGTTATGATTATATAACGGGACAGCAGCCAGAGGCTAACGACCCTGTGTCCCATATATGGCTGCATTTTTGTATATATACATTGGGAATGCATTAAAACGTATATTCGTATATTCGTAGGCTACTTGTACTTTACCTAACCTCTATGCGCTACACAGGTGTATTTTTATTGTAAGTTAGAGTATATTTATTTATTGTGAAACTATGCCTAATTATACTTAGGAAACAATGAAACGAAAAAATAACGAAAAAAAAAAACCTTGTGCAATAATCTAACGCCCGATCGTTTTCATTCAACCGTTAAGCGGCACAAGCGGGCGTTGCCATGCCTACTCACATCTGGCAACGCTGCCAGCTAATGAAATTCGATAACGATAACAACAAATTTTACTTGCCGCCTAGCAACCGAGTTTTCTATTTAAAACAATTGTCGTTAACTTCGACAGACATAGAAATTCCTAGAAGCGTCTAAAACCGAAAATAATAAAATTTATATTTGATGCCAAAATGGTTATGCTACATGTGAAACGCGGCGATGAGAATCTCTTTCTGTATGAGACAAGTGTGACCGCAGCCACGGATGCCGTTATACGTGAACTGGTATCGGTTTTCAATGGACGCTTGAAAATTCAACGCATTTGCATGGAAATCGAGGAGCTGGCCGAGCACGGCACCATGCTGCCGGTTGAAATGATTGGCCTGAACGACGATCAGATCGAGGAGCTCAAACTCAAAGATACCTGGGCAGATAAATGCGTGCCCATGGGCGGCTTCACGTTCAACAAGGATCCGCTGTGCCGGCGCAACGGCCAGCAGCCGAACGAGGCGATGCGCAAGGTGCTCGCCAATGCCATGACCGATGCCAAGGCCATGGTCGATAAGGTAATCTGTAGTGCCACAAATCTCCAGCCACTGATCTTCATACATTCCATGACAGAAATTGTGCAAAGCCTCGACCGCACTCACGCTGAAGGTCATCGAGGAGGCACTGAACATATTGCGCGGCGCAGTCACCATTGTATATCCGATGAAGCTGCCGCCGCACGACACCATACAGATGGAGTTCGCCAACATGGAGGATCTGAGCGGCACCCAGGCATCCAAGGAGGTCATTGAACCCTCGAAGGCTCAATTGTGGTTTGCCGGCCGCCAAATCCTAACTGGCAAGCTACTGAAGGAGTATTTGGGCAATAATGACAAGACCAAGGTGAGCGCAGCCCATCCCAAAGTGCTGTAGTATAATCCGCATCTTCTGCCTCCTGCCATCAGGTTGTGGTCAAGCTGAATCAGCTGGGCGAGGGTCCGCCCGCCCGCGAGCAGGTCATCACCGAGCAAGTGCGTCGCCAAATGATGGCAGCCGCCTACAAACGCCAGGAGGAGCTCAAGGTGAGTGCTCCTTTAAAGTATGCTTTATTTGATATATATATATTTATCTATAAAGTCAAGTTAATCAAAGGTGTAGAAAGTTAAGCTTGCATTGGTGCGTCGCAAAAAACTATTCCCTAGCTTTAAACAAGACTGCAAAGCTTTGAATCGAACCTAGAACTTTTTGGCATATATTCGCATATCCAAGAATCTGGTTAACGTACTCAGTAATCAGCTGGAGACGGAAAGTCCCAGCCTAGGCTTGCAGCCAAGTTTTTGATATAAATTTCGCATAGATCAGCTAAACTAAGTCGAGCTTGAGTTGTCTCCAAGTATTCTTTTGTATATTGGCATAGCTACTAAATCGTAAATCGTAAATCGAAAATCGAAAAACAAGGCAAAGTCTGATGCCTCTATATATATATATTTATCTACTGAAGGATCTTGATTTGTCGTATTTCGTTCGTACATATTGCTAAATAAATGCATTTGCCCAAAATTGTTGGTGCCGTTCTCCTGCAAGGATTCGAAGAGCTTATCTAATAGTTCTCCCGTTAGGAATCTCCTGTAAGGATTCGAAGAGCTTATCTATTAGTTCTGCCCCAAGGAATCTCCTGCAAGGATTCGAAGAGCTTATCTAATAGTTCACCCCTAAGGAATCGCCTGCAAGGATTCGAAGAGCTTATCTAAAAGTTCTCCCCTAAGGAATCTTCTGCAAGGATTCGAAGAGCTTATCTATGAATACTTTGGTCCAGCAGAGTAACAAGCGAGTGCTGACTAGTTAATCGTCGTTTATCTTCTTTCTATATACCCTGGAATATGTATAAATTCTTGTCTAAATGCAATTGACTCTGCAATGCCAAAGCACAGCTGCTGAACCAAGCGGACAAGGTGGGGGGCTTGATATATATATATGTATGTATTATTCCTGTTTATAGTTAAGTTTTTCTATCTGGTCGTATAACCCGCTTTTGAGAGGTTAATTGTAAAGCTCTTTAGAGTTACATTTCATATAAGTTTCTTGTTCAGAAAAGAAAAGAGAGAAAATCTGAGATGTGTGTCTAGAGCGTAAGGCTGAAATAATTTTGATCTTTGTAAATGTACATCATAAAAAATGTTCTATAAATGCAGAGTTAAATCGCGCTGAGTTCAAAAATAAGTTCAGTTTTCAATGTACACTGCACAGGTCCCTAAAAATTTGGTAGAGTTTCTATATAAATGTGTGTAGCTGTAAGCAATTATCCTGAGCTAATTTTGTTGGCCAGCCTGGGCTTTGTTTAGAGTATAACCAGCGGCTTTTCGGGCACATCACACTTGGCGGCCTTCTCGTCCTGTTCGTCCGTTGACTGCTGCTCGGTGGGACTCAGCGGTATCAAGGACTTGGTGCTGCCAATCATTTCCTGCGTATCGAATGGATGCGCCGGCTCCGCTGTCACATCCAGCTCGACAGCCTGCTGCTCCAGGTCGACCACATCGTCGTCCGTATCATAGACCTGTTCCGGCTGCTTGGCACCAGCTGCATTGCCAAAGCCATCATCATCCGAATCATCGCCAGCGCAGACACAACGCATCTTGGCATCGTCGCCCACCTGAAATCGCTGGTGTAAATCAATTTCTGTCGCAAGAGGCAACCACAGCCAACCCACCTTGACGGACTTGGTAATGATGCACAACGATATGGAGGAAATGACAAACAGCACAATGGGCACAATCAGCGAGACGACCAACTCGCGATACACCTTATCCAGATCGTAGCGTGCGACCACAAATTCCACATTTGTATCCTGAAATGAGAGTTTCATTATTAGACGGTCGACTAGGAGATACTCTGTAAAAAAGCTTTGCAAGCTTAGCTGCATATTTGAACATCATATATTTAACATATTTACATATCAACTTTTGCTAGAGATAGATGAATACTTGGGGGAGGGTAGGGATCTAAAGATTATAGAAGAATCGAAGTACTCAATTGAGGAATGCTAAGAAAGGATATTGGAAATCAATATCAATCGGTTTCTCAGTAAGGAGAAGTTCTTGAAGGCCAGAGATTCATATCTTTCGGCATATGATGAACGACAATCTTCAGTCCTAGTTCTAAAAGTCATCCAGACGGACCCAATTCGTAAACCTGCTTGAATTTTGCCCCTTCAGCCTGTTACATTCGTTCGCACAGGCACATGCCACCCTTCACACATTAAAGCTTACACAGGGTATAGAAGCTAAATGAAACCTGATCCCAGCTACACTGGCTTGGTTTACCTTGTTGTAGTAGCATTGATAGCGTGACTGGGCGGTGTTGTTGTCGCCATCGTTGCCATAGCGCGCCACGAAGTCCTTGCACTCGCCGCGCAGCGTGTTGACGCAGCCCTCGAGATTGATGAACAGCTTCTTCCAGCTGTATATGGTCAGATTGGCCTGGTTGGGCAGAAACTTTTGCTCCGGATCGATGGCATGCGTGCTATTATCATAGATGGCCCAGAACTGTGTGAAGTTCATGAATGGAGCCGGCAGCGCATCGTGCTCCAGCAGAGTGCCATTCAGGCAATCCGTGGCGCTGCACAGAACAAGATTTCGTTATAGAGAAGTTAAAAGGGATTAAAGTAGATTCGCTTACGTAATGCGATTGTCCGATTCGCGTGTAACTGTGGCACAGTTGGTCAACAGGTTGCCGTCGTCCTCCTTCCAGAATTCCGTGGGTTCAATGCGTACGCCGTGCTCCTTGCCGCGCGCCTCGTTGAAGGCCACCGCATTCTCACAGTCGGCCGCAATTACATTGTCCTCCTGCGGCAAGTAAGATTTGATAAGAGAGAGAGAGAGAGAGAGAGAGGTGTCTACTCACGTGCATGATGAGCGTGTTGATGTTGGCGGTGGTTATGCGGGAACAGTAGCGATCGCAGCTGAAGGGTCGCTTGATCTTGGTGCAGTGCACGCCGTGGCACTCGAAGAACCCGTTCAGCTTCGTGTTATCCTTGGCCGAATTGATGACAGGTCCATCCGGCTTGTGATGGCACAAAAAGAACTCGGACATGTTCTTGCAGTGGCCTGTGGATTAAGACAAGGGTTTAAAAAGGGTTTCAAGCTGGGCAAACCTTTGCTTAAGTACATCATATATAATATTTACTTAAGTATAGGGTATAAATTGTTATAAATATCAATTTTAGTGCTAAATCAAAAAGTACTTCTAGATGTGCTCACACACAAGCAAGCCCTGTATTTAAGACTTTGCTGTGTACTTGCCTTGCCTAGCGCTTTAACTAGTTGAGAATTTTAAGTACTTACCATTCGAGCAGTTGAAGACGCCGCGTATGTTATTGCAGACGGTGCCATTGTTGCAGTTAAACTTGTTCAGGCGATTCAGGTCAATCTGTTGGTTCGAGAGGCAGTAAAAGTTTAGATGTCTGTGTGTCCATTTAGTTAATGTGATCATAAAGACGCTGTGGCGCCAGGCAAATGCTCGAAATATTTGCGTTTAATTAGGAGGGAAGGGTTGTCTGAGTCAAGCCGAAGAATAATTACTCTTAAATATGATGGGAGAGTTCTAAAGCTCGTTAAGTTTGTCGAAGAGGTCTTAAAAATGAGAAAATTTAACTATAAAGCGTTATCTTTGGTCGATTTTCCCGTAGAACTAAAGAGCTATAGAAGAACAAATACTCTTAAATATGTGCGGAGAGCTCTAAAGCTCGTAATTGTTGAGTTTGTTGAAGAAGTCTTGAAAAAAAAAACGGAAAATTTAGCCATGCAGAGTTACCTTTGATCCTATTTCCCTATAGAGCTATATTTAATCTATTTTTATAGAGTTTTGCCGAAGTGTGAGGAGCAAAGGGAAACTAAGGAAACATCGAGGAACTAATACTCTAAGTTTGTTGAAAAGGTCTTGGAAAAACAAGGTCAACACAAAAAGTTGTTTTTGATCTATTTTACAATAGAGCTATATTTAAACTAATTGAAAAGGATTCTGCGGAGTAAAGCAAAACTATTTAATGAAAGATTTGGTTTGGAGATCTCGAGAAACAAGAGTTTTTCAAACAAGAACTTGAGCTTTGACATTGATATGATATTGTAGTGCTAGGGAGCATGTTCTGGAATAGTTTAGACTGCCTGGAGCACAGACTTCCCTAACAAAAGTTTTATCAAAGTCAGCTTCAAAATGAGTCATGCCTAAATCAGCTCAATTGTTACAACTTATCCGAACTGGTACTTTGTGGTCGCAGATGAGTCAAACTGTGCCTAATATAATTCTATACAACATTTTTATACCCAAGCTCATAAAACGAAGAACGCCAACGAAATTTGTATTGAGTTATTGATTTGGTGGCACGGACTTACCATGGCGCAGGAGGTGTTGGTCACCCGGGTGCAGTTGTTGAGCTGTATATCGGTGCCGTTGCGTCGCACTATCGAATGGATTTGCGGACAGAAGCCGCTGGTGCGTGTCAGACACCATTCGCCGCACGAGGCCCAGGGGCAATTGTTGGGCATCTGACGGTCGATAGTCTGGCACATGACCGGATCCAGCTCGAAGCCCGACTTGAAGGCTCTGCAAAGCGTGCGTCCGTCAGCGGGAATAGGTAAAAGGGCATGTAATGTACTCACTTGAGCGAGGGCGAGTATATGGCCACGCTGAGATAGACAATGGAGACGCAGGACAGCACCATGGTCAGCTGGCAGAGGCAAATGGCGCGACAGATGCGCTTGTCCTGCTCGGGTATCAGGCGCGGCTTGTCCTTGCGACGCGCCATGTCAAAGCTTCAGCCGGCCCTACGACTTGTTGCCCACAAAATTATCTGCTTGCTTTAGTCCTTTGTCCTGTTTCAAGGTGATTTGGCGCAGGGCTGGGCTGGGCTGGGCTGGGCTTCAGGTGTTTACCTGGCGTCGCCTTTATTTGTCCCCAATTTTGTGTCAACTCAAACACGTAAGGTTTGTCCCGATTTGCAAGTAGTCGCTGTGCTTTCCTATTTTGTGCTTTTATTCCGCCTTAGTTGAATTTTTTTTCTCCTTAATTTTGGTGGACAACCAGCTCGACTTGCGTTCGCATTTGCTGCCTGCTCGCCTGCAACTGGCTGCTGTCCTGGGCCAGGGCTGACTGGCTGCGCACTTTTACTTTTTCAAGTGAAAACGAAAGTAATTGACAAAACAAACCCTTAACCCCAAGTTGAACCAGCTGGCCCAATTTCGACAGTTCGACGCATGCGCTTCGCACAGCCAGAGCAAAAGCTTTGGCCCAGCTCTGACTCTCTCTCTGTCTCTCTCTCTCTCTCTCTGTCTCTCTGTCTCTCTTGTTCTCTCTTTCTCTCTCTCTTAGTGCACACTCAGCTATTCTGCCATGTCCAATCTTAGGCTAAAGACGTATGCAAATGGACCTTATAGCTAAACCTTATCTTCCATTTTATTATAGCCTAAACCAGTGGAAAATGGGTGAAAATAGTTGAAAGTTAATTAGGAGTAGAATGCTTAAACTGGGTCAAACTTTCGATAACCTCAAGAGCTAGAGCCTTACAATTTTGAAGTACATTATTTCTATATCTTTTATACTCTTCTCTACTGCTAAGATATTACTAAATACCCCTTGAGACACATGTTCTTAGGGTATAACCCAATAACTACTTGCAACTAGATGCTATGTAGTTACACGTAGAGCATAAACAAATTGAGAATATACCAAGCTTGGAATAGTTCGGGGCACAATCAATGAGAGAACATTTTCTGATCAATTGTTAACTTTATAAATCAAGGAAATTGTAAACAATATTTAGACACCTAGTCGAACCCTCGGGTCGGGTTTAATTTTGTCAAATAAAACAATCATAAATTCGGTTCTCATTAGTTTTTTTTTTTTATAGTTGAATTGTTTATTAATTAGGCCGTTAGCTTGTTAAATTTGTTTATTGATAAAGACACGTTAAGTAAAAAATTTGTAATCATTTTTTTGCATTTCAAATATTTTTGTTTGTTTTCGTTTGATTTAAAAAATTCTCATAAGCAACGTGCGTTAAATCGGTTCTGCTATTAAGCTATATATATATATACCTATATATATATATATTATATATATATTTATATATACTTGTATATACTTGTTATATGATTCCATTAAATGTTCCATTTCTAGATTTTTACATAGGTTTTTTAAAACTATTTCAAAATGTCGCAAATTGTGTGTTTTTGTGAATGCTGTTAGTTGAATTATTTTGAGTATGTATTTTGTTTTTTTTTTTTGGTTCCGATTTCTATGGGCATTACGACCAAATGTTTCAGAGCTAGCAAATGGAATCTCTGCTTCAGCACAGACTTTTAGCTAGTTATACAATTTTGTTTGATTTTTTTTTTACGAATTTTACATAATATTTTGTTTATGACTACTATCACAATTCTTTTTGAAAACAAGCTTATTTTTTTTTGTTGTTTGTTTTTAGTTTGAGAAATTGAGATTTGATCTGTTGGGCCAGGCGGAGCATCCAGCTGCGTTCAAAAGCGAGCGAAAGTAGAACAAAAGCTTTCAATTTCTCTATTTTTGAGATAAATGTGTATAAAGCATAATAAGATGTGTGTGAAAATTGGCAATGAGCTAATTGTTTTAAAAGATTTAAATATGTTTTTTTGTTTTTTTAGATCTCAAGTAGAATTTCAATGCTCCGCTGTGTCTCCTTTATACTTTAATGGCAGATGGCTTTACTTCTATAATATTTTTTAAGCTATATGTGTGTGTGTGTGAGTGTGTGTGTGTTTTTGGTACAGACTACAAAGTTAATTAGCTAAGTTGTTAAGAGAGTTTATTAACTAATTTGAATTTATTGCTAGTATTCCATTTCATCCTCTTCATCGCTGTGACACAGAAGTTTGCTAAAAGAATTCATTGGTACGAAAGTTCAAAAACGTTTCTAATGCGAATTACAATTTAAGCAAAATATCAGTTTAAATACCAGATTATTCAGTTACATTAGTTGGGTACATGCCAAAGGTTCTTTAACTATAGCCTGAGGCAAATACACTCAGAGAAAATGCAACTAGCTTCGTATTTGTAGCAAGTTCCTTCTTTAGAAAGTTGAAATTCTTTCAAACTTGATTCAATGTGAAATCTTTTTTACTTGCATTTGAGAACTTTTAATGCTTAGTTTGAGTATGCAAATTCTTATTCTTATTCTTATTACAAGTTTTTGAAACTTAAACGAAGCCATTTTCTTTTAAAACAATATGAAATCCTTTTTGCTTGCAGTGAGAACTTTTCATGCTTAGTTTAAGCATGCAAATTCTTAGAATAAGTCTGCAGTGCTTAAACCAAGCTCTTCTTTTTACAATTTTCTTCAAAAGCATGCAATCCTTTAAAAAAAATGTTAATTATATTTCTTAAATTAAGTAAGTAAATCTTTAAAAGAATGTTTTTCATGCTTAATTTAAGTATGACTAATATTCCTCTTAAAGATTGAATGCTTTTGAAGAAAATGATAAATATTATAGAAATATGGCTTTAACTAGATCTTGGCTCTAGAGCTAGATCTTTTCTCTGAGTGTACTTATCTTAAAGTGAAGCATGCAAAAACTAAAGTCAAATAACTAGAAATACTGGAAAAACATGCTACTATTATATATAATTAGGTATTTATTTTTTGGTCGCATATAAACTGAGCGTTGTATAGTGAATAATATTCAAAGTCTGGACTAGTGCAGGGTTTTCTTTTTTGAGGGATACTCGAAAGTATCTCAACAAAGACTATAGCTATATAATGCAGTATATATCAGTTTGTGCTCTTTGATTATTGAATAAGTCTTGTTGAGAGTTCGAAGGAGTTTTTATATAATTAATTGCGAGATGACAGCTTGAAGCTGAGCTCGTGAAACATATATATATATATATATATATATATTTGCTAAGGACACTTCAGAGTAACTTTTTCAAAGCCGAGTTTACGTTTTGTTTTTGTGTACTGAGCGTGATCTCTAACAAAGCGTTTGATTGTGTCAGGTTTTTCTTTTGCTAGCACTTAGATTTAAGTTGTAGTCCCTCGATTTGAACAACTAGCTTAGAATGTGAAGGGGGCGGGGGAGCACAACAAATTCAGGCACTGTCGCTTTTCAGAGTTATTCAATATACTTTTAAAGTTAACGACTTTTCCGTATTACATTTCATGCAGTTAACGATCCTGAAAGTAATTTGTACAAAGAGAAAAAAGAAAACGTAAAGCGCATGAAAAGTCTGTCGAAGGGAACTTAAAAGCGAGACGAGCTTTTTTTAACAAACTTAAGATAGACGATTTTCGAGGCCAATCAGGATTATAGAGAGCATAACAATTACAATCGATAACAATATGATAGACGATATACGATTAACGATATACGATTAACGATATACGATTAACGATTACTTTTGACAATCTCAATACAAGGCACAATGGATTATTATAAATATTAAAGTATTGTTTTTGTTTATGTGTGGGCTTTTACTACATTACGGGCTTTTATAAAATTTCTTGTATGAGAACACAAAAACTAGATGCTTGCGACTGCGATTTGGTCAACTCACTCTTCCTTGGTTGGAAACTTTTCGGCATAGACCCGTGAGGATTTGTTGCACGCCTTCTCACAGCAGGGGCAATACCAATAGCTGAGCACCCCGATCGAGATGGCAAAGAGCACATTCGGTATTATCAGCGACAGCACCAGATGATACAGATTATTCTCCCACGAATAGCGACCGATGACGACCTGCGGATAGGCGCGACTATAGTAGCAGGGAAACGGTTCGCCAATGTGAGAGAAGCTGTGTCATGGATGACAAAGAAGTTAAAATTGTATATATATATATAAATAATTAGCTAAGCGATGAAGCACCCACCCATATTGTCTGGCAAAAACGCTGCAATTGGTCGTGGGCGGGTAGCCGCAACCCTCGGAGTTGATCAGAAACTTTGTATAGCTGACATCCCAATTGACGCGCTCCAAGTCTCGAGGATTGCGCTCCCATTCGCTGTAGGGTATGCGCGTATAGTTGACAAACAGCTGATGGCACCTGGCAGAGAGAAACCATATAAACTACTAGTTTAATCGAATATAGATCTCTCTCTACTTACTTGGTGAGTGATGAGGTGCAGCCCTCGCGACAGGAGCTCCAGGTGCAGTTCTTGATGCCCTCCGCATAAATGTGATCGATGACAACGCAGGTCACCGGCACCGGATCGTAGTCGGCTATAATTGTTGAGATGGCGGGATCCACGACAAAGGGTATCAGGAAGAGAAATGTGAACACCGACAGTATGGCAGTCGTACCTATAGAGGGTAAGCGTAAGCTGTAGAAAGTGCTTCAGTTGCAAACCAAGGCTGCAATTCGTTTTGAGGCTTGAACATGAAGCTGTGAGTGTGCTGTGAAAAAACAGTTTCCGGGTTTGAACCAGCTTGACGGTTCAAACCTTGTGGAAAATCACGCTAGAAACCTAGAACTTTTGATTATGAGAATGTGAAGTGAAAACAATAGAAGCTACCACATCAACCATTAAAACCTGTTTCAGGGTTTGAGCCTGCTTGGTTCAAGCCCTGTGGAAAACAAAAGTTCACAGTTCGAAAGTTGAACTTTTTATTAAAAGCATTTTTTGGAAGACAACCAGAGTTCGAACCAAAAGCTTGAGCTTTAAACCATTTCAACCTATGCAATCAGTTTCACGGTTTGAACCAGCTTGACGGTTCAAACTCTATGGAAAATCACAGTTCATAGTTCAGTTCCCACAACTTTTGATTATAAGAATGTTAAGTAGAAGACAACCAGCTTCAGCTTCGAACCAGCGTCTTTACTTTTAATGGATTTGCAGCCATGGTATAAAACTATCTAGATCCTGAAACTTACCAAGGCACACGGAGGTGTAGAATTTCGCCTTCTCGAGTATGCTATCGATTTCGATCTCCTCGCGCTTGGCCTTGATGGCGTCGACGCAACCGCTGCCTGGCCGGATCGGTCCGTGCGATTGGCAGGAGGATCGGCCCGAACGGCTGCTGCTCAGGCTCATTTTGCTGGCCGACAGTGTTTGGGCCGAGAGCGTCGGACTCGTCGGCATCGACGTGGTCGTTGTCAGCGTTGAGCTCTTCTTCATGCTTACTCTTGTTTTTGCGAGTGTGTGTCGTGTGTGTGTGGATGAATGTTTTTGGTTTTTTTGTGGGTTTCTTTTATTATGTTATCACTAAAAGCCTTAAAAATGAACACCGCTAACTTTTTGCTGCTCGCCGAGCCTACAACAATAAACAACTTTAATGAGAGCTTCCCGCTCTCTACCCCTAGCCTAAAGTTTCCCCAAGGTTTCCTTAAGGTTTCCCTAAGGTTTCCTAAGGTTTCCTTAAGGTTTCCTTAAGATGGTTTCCTTTTCGTTAACCCAAAAGTTGATCTCTTTTCTTTTCGTCTTGTCGAAATGGAAATTTGTTTTTTGTCTTTAGTCTAAGTCTTTGTTTTTGGTTTTTAAAATTGCAATTGGATTTTGCATTAATTTTAGCTAAATTTTGTTAGTTAGTTGAACTTTTCTTTGGTTTTTTTTCTTTGTCTTTGGTTTTGTTGAAATCTTCTTAGTTTTGATCACGCATCCCTCCAAACCGTTTGACCATTATCCGCCTGCTCCTAAGGGCCGATTCTTCTATCCTTTTGTGGATTGTGTCTTCATGTGGCTGTGTCTCTGTCTGATTGTGTGTGTGCGTGCATTGAGTGCATTTCTTTGTATTCTCTCTATATGGATATTAACTTAAAGTTAAATAATCGAATCAACATTCGGCCCACGAATTACTCTCAGTATGTGGCCTAACCTTATACGAAAACGAAATATATATATATATATATATATATATATATATGTATAAATTATACTAATATTGTCTGTTCTGATTTTGTTCCGTAACTCGAGAATTTGTCACGTGCCTCGCATGTGGTGTGTTGTGTGATTTGCTGTTAGCTCGGGAGTGTCCTTGCAAGCCGCTCAGGTGTGTGGTCTAGTTAGAAGTTCGATGGAAGGATTACAAAGTGTTGCGATTGATAACAATGCCCAACTCCATTTACTGCAAAGCGAAGACGCCCGTCTGATGCACCGGACTGTCTTCCTGGAGCAGAGGAATGCCTGAAAAGCAGAGCGCAGAGAAGGAAGGTTTATCTATGAAAGGTTCTTACGTAGCAGTGCTATGTTTCTATGCTATGCTATGCCTTAAAGCTATGTTCTAACTCTAGTGATGTCTGAGAATTGGAGCAGAGTTAACAGGAAGTTTCATAAACATGAACATGGGTCAGACGTTATATAACGCCTGAGATAATCCTGAAATGTAGAGAGAGAGGAGGACTAAGGTTGTAAGGAGGTCGTCATGTATTGATCATAGGTTGGGCTTTAAATATCGCCTGACAAATTCCTGAAGCGTAGAGGTGAGAGAGGACTTCCATAAAGCGAGATTCTAAGGAGGTTCTTATGATGATCGCATGTTGTGCGTTGTATATGGCCTAAGGAACACCTGAAGAATAGAGTTGAGAGGGGACTAAGGTTCTAAGAAGGTCGTTATATTTCTCCTGAGGAATAACTGAAGAGTAGAGGCGGGAGAGGACTTCCATAAAGCGAGATTCCAAGAAGGTTCTTATGAAGAATAGAGTTGAGAGGGGACTAAGGTCTAGGAAGGTCGTTATATTTCTCCTGAGGAATAACTGAAGAGTAGAGGCGGGAGAGGACTTGCATAAAGCAAGATTCTAAGGAGGTTCTTATGTATTGATCGTAGGTTGTGCGTTAAATATGGCCTAAAGAACGACTGAAGAGTAGAGTTGAGAGAGGACCTTCACAAGGAACCTAGTTTTAAGGAGGTTCTCACATGATAATCATAGGATGCGCGTATAAGGTTGCCTCTAACACTACTCGAGCATGGCTGGTGCGTTAACTATGGCCTCTGCGACTAGGTGATCCTTAACCTATGTTAGATTTACCCCATAGGCTGTTGGTTAGGCAAGGCAAATGCTGAGAACTCCGTTGGTAGCACATATTTAGGAATAGTTACGATTTGGATTTGGGGTAGCTTACGTGACGGATCTCATAGAGCCATGACTTCGTCGCCACCGCCGCCAGCCATGTCGGCGCTGGTCGGAGCGCCGGGGTTGTTCTTGGACAAAACGGAGGCGGTGTCGACGCAGCCCTTGAAACGCATCTTGGCATCGTCGCCCACATAGACGGTGGTCTGGCACATTATTAGCACCGAGCAGGAGACCACAAACAGCACCGAGGGCACAACCGAGGCGAACACAAACTGGCGATAGGTGACCTCCAGATCGAAACGGGCCACCACGATATCCTTTTTGGACGGCGAATAGAAGCAGGGGAAACGTGCCCGGGCATTATGATCGCTGCCATCACGGCCGAAAACCTTCAGGAATTCCTTGCACTCGTCCTGCAGCGTATTGACGCAACCCTCCAAATTGATCATCAGCTTGGACTCATTCGAAATGGTCAAGTCCACATCGGGCGGCGCTATCTCTGGCACCTGCGTCGCGACCGAGACATGCAAATGACTGAGATATGTAAAGTTGGTCAGATCGCTGAGCATGCTGTGCTCCAGCGTGGAGCCATTGATGCAGTCGACCGCGTCCACGCGATCCGACGTGTTCTTGATATAATAGCACGATGTCATGGCCACATTGTCATTGGACTCGTTCCACACCTCCTCCAAGGTCTCGGCATTGATGGCATTCTGGCACTGCGACAGATACACCTTGTCCCCGCTGAGCACCACCACGTTCTTGTTGCGCGTCGGAATGTCCACGCAGCGTCTATCGCAATTGTACGGCGTGCGTATCTTGCGGCAGGTGCCGCGGCTGCACGAGAACAAACCGCTGATGTCCATGCAGTTGATCTTGCCGCGCCGCCCCGAGCACTTGACGGGCGCATCGCTGTTGTGAAAGACGCACTCGAAGGCGTCGGTTATGTTCAGGCACTGGCCCGCCGTGCAGTTGAAGGTGCCCGTCAGATTCTTGCACTCGTCGTTGATGCAGCGCGCCTTGTCCGCGCGATCCTGATCGATGCCGTAGCACGTTTTGTTCGCCGAATTCGTGCAATTCTGGAAGGTGAGATTTGTGCCGTTGCTGCGCAGATTCACATAGATCTGTATGCAGGCGCCCGAGGTCTTGCTCAGGCACCATTCGCCGCAGCTGCCCCACTCACAGTTGTCCTTGTTCACAGCCCGCGTTGTGGTGCACATGACGGGCGTCGGATCGATGCCGCTCTTGAAGGCGCGCGTCGATGGCATATATATGGCCACGGTGAGATAGACCAGCGCCACGGAGCTGAGCACCAGCGTCATCTGGCATATGCAGATGGTGCCACAGATGCGTGTATCCTGCGGCGGCACCACCAGATCCTCGGTGGCCACCTTTTTCTTGCCCATAATTGCGCTACACTTCTCCTGCTACTGGCTAATCCTCGACAGAGTTAGCTCCTTGCTCTAGCTTATGGCCTGGCTTTTGTGCGCTTGGCCAATTTATTGGCGCATCTTGTTTGTTCTATCGATTGATTCCACGCCCCACGCCCCGCTGCTGCTGCCCACGCCCTGTCGCCTTGGCGTGCTGTTATATAATCCGGAATTGACTTGGCGAGATTACTATTTTTTTTTCTTCTTCCAATGTGTGTGGCGCTGTGCGGGGGGCGTTGCTTTCAATTTAACACACAACTTGACTTATTGATTTTTTTTTTTTTTGTGTAAGTTTCTAATTTTCTAGTTTTAGACTAAAAAGTTGGCCGGAGCTCGCCCGTCGCCAGCTTCGTGCACTTAATTTGTGTAATTAACAACAATCTAGCAGCTAGTTTGAATTATGATAATTAAATATTTTTTGCTATTTTCTATTTAGTTGCCAGCTGGCATTTGCCTGGGACTTCACACAGGCCCTGCTGCCTGGCTTTGCACAATTTTCGCACTGAATTGGCCACGGCTTTTGCTTCTGTCTCTGCCAGCTCTATTGGCTGCACTCGTGTGCTTGACACTCGGCACCAACTCTCCATCTCCATCTCCGTCTCCTGACCGCCGACAACATGTCGCCAGCTAGCCAGCCACCCAGCTCTGCTCTCGGCTGTCTGGCAGAAATCAGAGCGATGCGCGCGCATTTTTATTACAAAATCAATAAAACCGCATTCACGTTTTGCATGAGCTGCTCCTGCTCTCTGTTTGTCGCCACCTTCTACCTTCCCTGGGCGCTGCTTTTTCATTGATTAAGCTACGCGTGACCGGAGCATGTGCACTACGCCCCTCCTTGCCCTCGGTTGCCGCCCCCTGTGCTTTTGGATGCAGGGCACGGGGACAGGGTCGCCAAGAGAGCGGCAGGCGCAGCGGGTGGGCGTGCTGGGCATGACGTCGGCGTCGCAATGAACCAAACGAGTGTAGTTTTAAATACTCTCGGAGAGGGTATAACAACTTTGTCGTGATATATGTAACGCATAGGAGAAGTTCCTATAGAGTGTTTATATGCTCAATCAGCCTCGACAGGCGGGTCGGTCCTTGTCTGTCCGCCCGGAATGGGATGACGATCTTGTTGAGAGTATAACAATTTTGTCGTGGAAGGCTTAACCCATAGGAGAGGCTCCATAGTCTTTATATTCTCGATCAGCATCAACAGCCAGGTCGATGAGTCCATCTGTCCTTCCGGAATGGGATTACTTTATCTTAAAGCTGCCCAGGAAACTCAGCTTAACTCCCGCAAAACCCGTATCCGATTGGACTACTCTACTAATAGCGCCTCCGGCAACAAATGGTCCAGAACAGGGGCTCATCTACATGTCCGCAAGGGTATTTGGTCTGCGGCTATCCGAAAAGAGTTTTCTTTTCTAGTTTTTTAGTACATATCGTGTGCATATAAATATATATGTATATGTTTCCTCTATATTTGCGCTGGAATGCACATGGTTAACAATTTGCACTATAAATTAAGTTAAGTATAAAAAAAACGGAGCGTGGCCCGTGCTTTAAGAGATTTACACAACAGAAATAAGAGCTGAATCCGGCTGTAAATCCGACTTAGCCGTCCGTGATGGGCATGTTCCAGGATTGTGCCATCAGCTGTATCACCTTTTTGCTTAGTCTGGGTCCGATCAGCGGATTCATTTGCGCCATATAGCAGCAGAGCCAGAAGAGCCAGCAGCAGCCCGCGGTCAGCATCAGAATGCACTGAGTCAGCTTCTGTTGCGGTCCCCGGGGCGTTATTATCGAACCGCCAATGCCGACGGCAGCCCACAGGCCGGTGAAGAACAATACGGGCAGTACAGCGGCGCCCATGTTAAAAGTTTATTTAAAAAAATTTGTGCAAATTGCGTAGAGCTGCGATTTACAATTGAATTTCACTTGTTGGCTGTCTTTGTTTTTTTTTCGCTGACTTGCGATAGTTGCTTGCCTACCGATATACGCCTATCGCAACCGAAGCAGCTGTGCGAGCAGTGCTGCCAACCTGCTGCAAAGTGGCATTATAGAAAGGCGCTAAATTTGAACACAGCTTGGCCATGCCTAGCCATATATAATTGTAATAAAGCTAAATTCAGCTAATTGAGTTCAGTTCATTGTTGACAAACTATAAGTCAAATGCAAAGTGGCACGTTTTAAGGTATTTTGAAAGTGTTTTTAGATATTTAAAAAGCATTTTCACTTTAAATTGTTAGCTTAACTTATTTTGTTAACTGGCCAACAACAAATGTAGCTAATATATTAGTAGATATTATGAAAACCTATAACTTTCTATTAGGCGAACGCAATCTTAACATCACTTGCCTTTGACAGCACTTTCCAATTAATTTATCAGTCCGAAATATATATAAAACTAGGCAAAAAACTTCTGTAAAATATTGACTAAATAACTAACTTTTCCGACTTGCCCTTTGTTTGGTTTCAGCCCATTGAATAATCAATGGCAAGTGTTATTGAGAATTTCACATTGTTGATTGGGCAGACGACGACAATTTGTGGGTTGGGTTTGCTTTATGGGTATTCTCTACAAATATGGCTGCGCTCCTAAGTAGGCAACACTTCTTGCACGGCAAAAGAAGGTCAAATGCAGTGAAAGTTGTTTGTTTTATTTTTGTATATTTTTAAATATAATTCGTTACTCACATTTACAAGTTGTGGGCGCTTCCAGTTCTATTCAGGTTTATTTACGTTCGCGGACACACACACACAGACACACAAAGCACATGCTACACTCTCACACACACTCACACGCACACACACACACACGCACAGCACTTACACACACAGGCACATGTGTATGCAGCGTCGTTTCATAATGGAAATGCAGCAGTATTCGTTAAATTATTACTTTTCTTAATATTTGTTAATGTTTGTTAACTTTTTACGTTGCGCAGTTTTGTTTTTAAGGCAGTAAATTTGATTTGACCGAAACTTGTAATTTGGTTCTTTTCCTGTTCCTTCGAGCCGAGAAAATTCCAAACAGTTAAATATGTGTGTGACGTGCTGCACGGCTCGCAGCTCACATTTTCCCTGCTGTTTACGCCTGAAATTCTGACATTTCTCGCGAAGCTCGGACATATTTTTTTTTTTAGGCCTGCGCCTGCGCGTCATCTTGGCTGGCTTTACGTCATCCTTTGGGGGTGGCCGCCACTGTTGCTGCTGCTGCAAGCTTTACACGGGCATAACGGTCACGGCCAGTGTTGGCAATTCAGCTATTTTCTAGCTCGTTAGCTGGAAACAGTTAAAATTTTAAATTATTTCGCACTGTAAAACCAACTCGCAGCAACTTTCAACACTAGAAAACCTTGCCAACTGTTTACAAAAAAAATGGCGCGATAGGCAACACTCTGTGTTTCTCTGTTCCACTTGACGCCAAGCAACAGCTTGCTTATTTGAATTCAGCTATTTTTAACAGCTAGTTTTTTGAAGTTGGGCAACACTGGTCCAAACGCGTGAGCGCAAGCTTTGGCCCCGATTGGAGCACAGCGACTGCCGCATGGCCCGTACACTTTTATTGAACATGGGCAAGTGCAAAGCTTGTGCAGAGTCGTGCATGCCCATGTCCAGTTTTTATTTGTGAGTTGTAGCGCAGCGAAAAGCTCGGGCCGCGCGCACATTGCTGGAGCTCGTTCAGCTGCAGCGTCGCCAGTGGCAGTCCTTTCGGTGAAGAGTTCAGCTGTCGCGCGTCGTCGTCGTCGTCGCCGTTCGCCTGCGTCCGCCATTTATTGCCGTCGCCTCTTTGTCGGTCGGTCGAGGCTCCAGCGAAAATGACAAAATGTGAATATGCTCTGTGTATGTGTGACACTCCGTCTCTGTGTGTGTTTGTGTGTTGTTTTCCTTTTTTTTTTTTTGGATTTTGCACTTTTGACCCGTACGCAATCAGGTCATTTAAATGTTGAAACATTGTAAATGAGCCAGGTTTCAGTTTTGTTTGCCGTTAAACAACTTTTGTGCTGATTGAAAAATGCGTAATCGTAGCCTGAACCTTGAGTAAACACACACGCACACATGCACATGCTCCTCGTGTGTGTGTGTGTGTGTACCTGGCTCGCACGCAACGCGACGTCACAGCAGCGCAGCGCAGCGAGACACTGAGGCCTACAACAACGTCATTTGGCCAATGCGCTGTTATAATAACAGAAACATTTTTGAAGTGTTGTTACGCCCCTCCCCAACTCCCGATCGCCCCCGCCCCCTTTTAATCGTTTTGCCCATTTGCCAGTTGGGCTCCATTGATTCATCACAAAAGCAAATGAAAAATCGTTTCGTGCAAAGCACGAGGAGTCGCCAAGGCGACCCCCTTCACGCCGCAGCGCCAGTATATTAGCTGCCATGCCGCATAATGTTGCCACCTCGCCCCATATACATGTGTGCATGTGTGTGTGTGTGTGTGAGTGTGCTTGTGTGTGTGCCATGTAAGCGTGCCAAATGAATTGAAAATTACATGCGGCTCCAATTTTTTTTTTCGCACACCCTGCCCAAACTTTGGGGACGGCACTGTAGCCAGTGCCAACTCCATTGAAGTAGTTCATTTGTGCCGCCCATGTGAGCTCATTGTCGCCAGTTGTAGCTGCCCCCCCCCCCCTCTGCTCTTCCTTTTGGCCTCGCCTGCAGCTGCTGTTCGGCGGCATATTTCCGTTTCGTAATACTCCGGCACACGAGTGCGTCCCCCTGCCCCTTCCCCTGTGCAATGCCATGAATAACAAGTACAACGGCATTTAAATGTACACAGTCGTGGTTATATAAAAATAACTACAAGCCAATGGAAATGCCACTGCGTACTGTCTAAAGCCAAACAAACAAGAACTATTTTTAAACGCATTTTAAGCGCTTACGCGTTGTCTAACGGCATTTTAACAACACCTACACACACCCCCCTTCTCCACCCGCGCTTAACTACTTTACGCACAGTGTTACAGCTGCACGTGGCCGCACGAATAGTGTGAGAAGCAAACGCAAAGAACAAAGCACAGAGCAAAGAGTGCAGAGTGCAAATAAATAAAACAGCAAAGAAAAAGAAGAAGGAATAAGTGAAAAAATAAAACAACATTTGTCCGTCCAGCAAACCAATTTTTTTTCTTTAAATAAAAGCAACTGTCAACAAATGAACTAAATACCAAAAGCTAAGCAGCTACAACAACAACAACAACAACAGCAGCAAGAAGAAGACCAGCTGCAGCAAAAGAGTGAGAAAAGCCGTTACTCAAAATTGGGCATAGGCAGGCCGCGCGCGCACACACACGCATACACCCATACATAGACGCCCGCAAGTACACATATGCGCAGCCTTTTGCCGCAGTCATAAAATAATCAAGCAAAGGCAAGAACTGAACGAACAGACGAAAAGCGACGAGGAGAGGAGAGGAGAAGAGGAGAGGAGTAGCTGCTGCTAAAGCAAAGCAGCGACGCGACTGCAACGTCGAAGGCTGCTGACGAAACATCTCCGCTGGGACACATAAAGCAATTAGCAAAGGTTGACAGCACACACTGTCACACACACACACACACACACACACGCGCGCACATACTGCCAAAGCAAGGCAAGTTAAGATTTGTGGAGTGTCCAATGACTGCTAACATGCGTGCTCTGTCGCATCCCTGGATTATATTTAGACTAATTGCGCGTCGGGCAACAACAACAGAAACAGAAACAGCAACAACAAGAACAACAACGCACAATGCTGCTGCTGCTTCAGCTGCACAGCAGCGGCTGCTGTGATGAGAGCTGAAGAAGGAAATGGAGAGGCAGCGACGACAGCAAACAGAAAGCAAAAGCAAAACGAAACGAAACGTACTCGACTCGCCCTGTGATATAACTGCACCGTAGTTGTAAACGTTTAAATCGTAGCTCATAGTTATCGTTATCGTTATCGATTATATTAGCTTAAGCTAAACAGAACGGGAACTTCGCAACACTTGATTAACGCTGCTCGTGCACCCAAAATATAATATATATATATATATATATATATTTAAGCGTATATATAGTATATATACAATTAGTAAATACACCCTCTCTGCCTGCCTCACACGCGACACACACACACACACACACACACACACGTGAATTTGAAATACTTTGCTGCGCCGCCAGACCTTGCGCCATTTTGTATAGCCGAAAACCGGAAACGGAAATCGAGAAATTCGGTACGCCAATAAGCGCCTCGCAAAATACCGTTAAAAGCCACAGCATGGGAGATGAAGAGAAACGCACCGGCAAAGAGAAGCTGCTCTTCTATACGACGGCATTTTTCATACTTCTCGGCACGTTCAGCCTGTTTGCGTTTCTGTTTCTGGTGCCGTTCGTGATCGAGCCGGCGTTCACCACGATCTTTATGCAGTTCGAGGAGGTGCCGGCCTTGTGCGAGACGTACGACACGGAGATCTACTTCGGCGCTAAGAACTGCTCGTGGTCGTCGTGCCGTGAGGGCTGCACCAAGGACATCTATACGTGCACACAGATTCGCGTTAATTATCGCCTCAATTTGTACAATTTCACGGACGAGTTCAATTTTACGGAGTATCACATCAATTTGCGCGAAGCGGAACGCGTTGTGCCGCCCGTAAAGCGTACGGATCGCTACGAGCGTGCACTACGGGATTACGAGTACGATAATCTGGGCGCCGGCGATGCCAATACCATAGACATGGACTTGGATATGGGCGCCGGCGCCGGCGCCGGTTCAATGGCCACCGGCCATTTCGAGCAGCTCAATTTCGGGGATGCCGACGGCTCCAATGGCTTTCTGATCGAGGATTCGGACGATGGCGCGGGCACGCTCATCAACAGCGAACGACGGCCCTTCGATGAGATCTCCGAACTGAACGAGGGCCTCATGGGCAACAATTCCATATACTATTATGTGGGCGCCCGGCTGTTTCCCAATGTCAAGGGCTGCGGCTATCCGCCAATGCTGAACTGCACCATTTGGCTGAAACGCTATACGAAGATTGGCATCAAGTTTCCGTGCTACTACTCGAAGGTGGATCCCAGTTTGGTCATCAGCGATCTGGACTATTGGCAGAACACGCTGAATCTGGTCTACTCCATGGCCATACCCATACCATCGTTCATCATTTCGGTCATCTATCTGACGTACGCGTACTTTAAGATCTACAACGAGGACGAGGAGACGGCGCCGCTCGACAAGAATGCCGAGGACATGGACATCGATGATATCGATGCCGTCGATGATAGCGACGGCGCCGTCTTGGCGGACAATGCCGCCGGCAGCCAGATTGTCAACATGGACTCGACCACGAACGACAGCTGCCTGGAGGGCGTGCTGCCCAACGGTGGTCCCGGCATGACCAGGTGCATATCGCAGGGTGGCTCCATCACCACATCCGGCCACTATATAGCCCAGTCGCCGGCGGGCTCACAAATGACGCCCAATTCGGAGATCAATTCGTTTGGGCATCAGCTGAAAGTCCAAATGGCCGACGAGTTGTCCAGAGATTCGCTCGAGAATGGCGTGCTGTCCACGTCGAATTCGGTGCAGGGGTAAGAATCGGTCACAATTTCCCTTTATCATCATTTTAAGGCTGCGACTTTTCAACCAGGGCTGCACAACTAAATAAATTCTCGTTGATTCGGTTCACGTTTCGATTCCAGTTTTAGTTGCGACTTTTCTTTATCCAACCCTTCCGGTTAAGGTTCAAGTTACTGAAATTGAAAATCTGGCTTGTTCCGAAGCTCAGTTTACAATTCATTATTATTTAAACTCTTCTAATATCGCCGCGGGCTTCGAACTGGCTTGCAGCATCGGGCAACAACAGGGCTTAGGCTGAGAAGAATTTCCCTTTATTATATTTTTGAGGTTAGGACTTTTCGACCAGGGCTGCACAACCGCATACGTTTTCGTTGGTTCGGTTCACGATTCGAACCCAGTTTTCGGTTCAGTTTTAATTTCAGTTCGGTTTTACGGTTAAGATTCAACTCTGGCCGGTTCGAACCGGCTTGCAGCTTTCTATAACAAGACAACTTCATAGATTTATGTTTAAATCCTTACGATCTTGTTTCAGAAACTTGAGCAAGACGATGACGACGAGTATCTCAACTCCACCTGGGCCGACGGCGGCAGTCTGAAACGTCAGGCGCATGGTCTGGAGAATGTTAGATTCCGATTCGGAAAATGAACCGTTGCTGGAATCCTAAGGAGCAGCGAGCAGCATGAAGCGGAAACGGAAACGGAAACCGAAGTATTTCTACCCTAAAACAATCGATAACAACGCATGCGAATGCGAAACGAACCTGAATACCTTCAGAGCTGTTAGAGACACTTAAAACTATGATAGATTATATATAAATACATATATTTAGCTTAACACACACAAACACACACACACACACACAGTCACATAATATTACGATAGATGAGATTAAGCTTAACTCATTCAGTTTCAAAATTACAGCAAGAAAATATAGTTCTACATATGAAAATCGCTAAGGACGCTGGAGAACCGGATACGGATGGGCGAGTGTTACTTTAATTGGTACAAATACAATAAAAACAACAACATGAGGAGGTGGGAAACAGAAAACACTTAAGTCTATATACCTAAAGCAAATTAAAAAAAAAAAAATGAAAAACTTATACACCATAACATATACAAATATTTACTTGAATTATTTTTCTATTCGCAAGAAACGAGAGCTCGTCTCAAGCGTCTCGCATACCAAAAGGCAACAAAATAATAAATATAAATAAAACTTACAAAAAAAAAACGTATAAAAACTTATTTACAAGTCAATAAATTGGAGAGAAGCGCTGCAGAACATTTTTTTAGATATTGTAATGTTTATTTAATTAAAAATTAAAAGCTAAAAAAAAAACTAAAACTATGCGATAAAATGAACAAAAAACAAGCCTAAGTATATTTGAAATACATAAAAAAAAAGAAAAGAATTATTATAAATATTATGATAACAATATTTAATAATAACAATTGTTATCCTTCTAATTAATGCGGATAAAAACTCACAGCTTTAACTAACGGAAACAGAGGCATAAGATTTTTCTTCTACATATTAATTTTTATTAAGATTATATTATATATGATAATGATAAATAATATTAGGTAATACAAAAAAAAAAAAAATGGTTCAAGCTATTCAATTAAATCTTTTAAATAACTTATGCATTCAACAAAAATCATAATTTAGACCTAAATATGTTTCCTTTTTATATTAACAAGCAAGAAAAGCAAACCCAAACAACAAAAACTACTCGTAATATTTCTAAAGATCGATGCGAATACTCTCAAACTCGTTGCCTAGGCATAGACGCATTTGCAACGGTAACTGCACCTATTGCGAATAATCTATCAAAATGATAAGCAAAGCAAAGATACATAAACACACACACACACACATAGTTTGTTTTTAACAAAAGATATTTGCATGAACACCAAAAAGATAAACTAAACAAACAAGCGCAACTACTAGCTAATATCATGTAAAAGAAAAAAAATACAATTTAAAATGAAAAACAAATGCTACTAGAATTGAAAACAAAAGCGAAACAAAATCTCGAAAATAAATACGCATTTAGCAGCCTACAGACAAAACGCATTTTTATATATATTCAAAAAACGGTTTGGTTTGTTCGAAAATAAGCGACATTTTACAGCACTAATAAAACGGTCATTCCGTCCGATAACAAATCGATATGCGATAACAAGTCACATGCAAGCACTCTTCTTGCAACTGCTTTACACTGTTTTGCAGCACTGCTCGATTGGTGTGGCAACCCTGGAACAGCTGCTTATCAGCTGTTTCGGCTGCAGCACTCGCCGTGCAATGGAAAAAATTGCTATTGACAAATGTTTGTTATTTTGTAAAAGTGCTTAACACAAGTGCGCTGGCCTAAGCTATTAGCACATATACATATAGGAAAATATAACAAACTGCTGCCATATATCAGTCGAATGCAGCAGTGAATTGTTTTTGGGACACTTTTGTTGTTGCTGCTGCTGCTGCTGCTTCTTCTTCCGCTTGTAAACAAATTCTGAAGTGAGAAAAAAAAAACGTTGAACAAATGCTTTTGCATAGCTGAAACACACAAAATGGACAACAAAAAGGACATCTACAATCTGTGGGTGCAGTACACAACCAAGGTAAGCTGCTGGCTGGCCAAATTGCAGGTGTTCCCCTTGTTGCGGGCGGCGGCATTTGTTGCTGCGAGCGGGCGCGGCGGGGCAGGTGACGTGTTTTTTTTTTTCCTCCATTTTTTGTGCATTAATCACCGCACAAAAAGTGGCGACAGCGCACCTTGCCCAGACATGTTGTCGCCTCAGCGAATGCATAAGTGATTATATAATCACAGCCAGGCTTCAGTTGCCTCCAGCCTCACTCCCCTCTCTCTCTATCATTCCTCTCACTCGGCTGTTGCAGAACGATGAGACATACTTTCGCGAGTTTGTGGCACGTTTTGTGGACATTTGGCGCAGTCAGCTGCAATTGGACTTTCAGGCCGCCAACTGCCCGCTGTGGCACGAGGTGCAGCCGGACAATGGACCGCATCTGGGCCGGCTGCCGGACGAGCTGTTGCCCGCCATTGGCAAGTTCATCATTGTTGCACGAGATGCCTGCGAGACGGATACGCTGGATGATCAGGGCATCGAGCAGGTGGCCATACTGATTGACTGCCTGGTTATTGTGTGCCGGCACTTTGACAATATATTGTCCATCATCAAGTATGAGTACAAGCCCAATCTAATCGCCATACTAACCAAGGTGTTCGGCCAGGTGGGTAAAACAAAATAAAAAAAAAGTTGCAAGAGATAAATTTAGTTATATTTGTTGTTGTTGTTTTTTTTTTCTTCCAGCAAATGGAGCAGCGACGCGTTACGCTGGCGATGAGTCATCTGTTTCGCAGCTTTTCCTCATTTCTGGAGGTCATGTACGATCCGTATCTGACATGGCGCAGTTTTCTACGCGGCCAATTGGCAGATTACGCTCGATTGCCGTACAAGCCGCACGCGGTGCATGTGGAAATTGTGCCCTTTATCTATGGTTCGTAATTGCTTTGCTTATCTGACACCTCACGCATTTGATTGAAATTGTATTTCGTTGTTTTGCAGATTGCTTTCAGAACGAGGCGCTGCTCGGTTTTGCGGATATCGGCGAGAGCCTGCTGCATGTGCTGGGCGCAATCATATGCGGCTCTCAGGTAGCGTACGGAGCCAGAGTTCTGTCACAGAACGAACCATTTCCTACAAATCTTATTGCTAATTATCTTTATTTCTGTTTATATCTGTAACTTAATTGTCTTAACTGGCACAACAATTGTTGTCCTATGCACTGTGTATACCTTCTGTTCATTGCTTAGACCTAATTTCATTTCATTTTCATTCTATAATACTTTTCATACAAATTCTGCGTGTGTGTGTGTAAAACAACTTTGCAGAAGACTCTAAACTTGAACTCAACATATAGAAATACTAACGCTTTAATTAGTGCAAACGCCCCACGCTCGGGTGATGGGCAGCTTCTAAACTGTGATAACTTGGTGAGTGGTAAAACGCTTCTATCATATATTCTAAAGTTGTCCCGCATGCCTCTCTCTCTCTAGTAAACCCTTTATATGTCCATGTACTGCTCGCTGTTTCCATATATATTTAACTGTCTTCCATATATATTTAACTCTCGGCAGCGCAATGGCATGAGAGCCATTTGCCCGGCCACGGTGTCCATCATTATGCGCATTCTCCAGCTGTGGGAGACCGCCAGCAGCCTGCGTCATGTGGCGCTCAATTGTTACGCTCTGATGGTCATTGTGCTGCAAAAATCTAGTCCAGAAGAAGTGAGTAGTCGCCTTTAGTCCAAGTGCTCGCCAAGACTTATCTCTTTGTTTTTTTTGTACAGCGCCAAATAGACCTAGTTACATTAATTCAACTCTATTGTGATGCACTGCAGCAGCTGCTGGCGACCACGCACTTTGACAGCGGCGCCGCCAGCTTTGATATAACCAGCGACACGGACAGCGATGTAGCCATCGATATGGGCGCGCTCTCCGCCAGCGTGGCTGCCGTGCAGCTATTCCTGGCACCTGGCGCAGCAACCGGCGCGGCGGCCGTCAGCGAAGCCATTGGCGAGACCAATTTGCTGGAGCTGTTGATTGGCCTGCCGCAGGTCATTCAGGCAAGCATCGAGCTGCTCACCAACTGCCAACAATTGCTCACTTTCTCCTTCTGTCTACCCACAGGCCTGGCACATTGCGCACACGGCTGCGCTGGGCAGCACCATGGATGCATTGGCTGCGCTGACGCACAGCGCGCCGCTCTGTGCCGAGCAACTGCGTCTGGCTGGACGCATTGATCGGCTCTTTGGCAGCCTGCGTGACTTTGAAGCGCCGACGACGGCGCTGCTTGATGCCTGCTTCAGTTTGGGCTACGATGCGGAGCAGCGTGTGCTGGTGCTGCCCGAGGTCATGCTGCAGCTGCTACAGTGGCTGCCGGCGCTGCAGGAAGCGGTGCAGCTGCACGTCAGCGTGCTGCTGCTCAAGGGCTGCACGGACAACTATGGCACGTGAGTCGCAGCTGGAACTAAAACAAATCCTTCAAATAATGATGTCATTTTGCTCTCCTGAATCCTAGCAAGACCGTGGCTTGCGGCAGTCGCGTCGTCAAGGCGGCGTGCGCTTGTCTGATGCAGAGCGAGCTGCTGGCCGAGGCTTGCGCCCAGAATCTGATCAAGCTGATCGAGGAGCTGAGCAAGCTCAGCATTGTGCCCGTCGAGCTCAAGTGCATATTTGCCTTGTTGCGTCGGGGTGAAGAGTTTGCGCAGTGCAAGCAGCTGCAACAGGTGAGCTGTGTTATCCAAATGGAGCAGGCTCCATACTAACTCACTGTCAATCCCTTTCAGACGCTTGTCGTGATCGCGTTGCAGAGTCTGCGCGGCAGCAACTGCTGTGCGCAGTATTTTGGCATTGAGCAGCCGGCGGATGGCATTCTGGTGCCCGACATCAAAAACTGGACACTCTCCGGCGCCTATGGCTTCATTCTGCACATGCTCGTCCGTTTCACTGCCCAGCAGGATCAGACGCAATCGGGCAGCACGCGTCGCATGCTGCTCACCCTGCACACGGCCAGCGGCTGTGGCTTTGAGGTCTTTGTCCAGCCCAATGGCCATGTTGTGGTGGCTGCCTTGACGCGACGCGAATACCTGACGACGGCGACTGCCACCAAGACGCTGCTGGACGGACAGTGGCATTATCTAACGGTGGCCATAACGCCGCCCAAGCGGCCCTTCTCCTACAGCCAGATCAACATCTATGTGGACTTTGTGCAGAAGCTCAGCGCCACGCTCAAGGTGCAGCCCGTCAACGAACCCTTCAGTGTCTGCGGCATCGGCGCAGTGCTGGCGGCGCCGCCAAAGCAAAGCGATTTGGCCAAAGGTGGCTCGCTGCCGCGTTCTTCATCTCAGGAGAGCGGACCCGCCTACAAGGGCATGCTGCCCAGTCTGCTGGAGCGCACGCTGTCGACGAACGTAAGCTCCCTTTGGGATTTGTTAAATATAATCAAATTAACCAATATTGCTTTGCAGGTGTCCAACTATTTCACACTGCCACTGCGCACCCAAACGGCCTTCGATCCGAACGTTAAGAACTTTCCCATTGGCATGCAGGATACGGTGTTCGGGGAGCAGGCGTGCCTGCAGGGACATTTGGGCGGCGTGCTGCTGGCGGAGCCAACGACCAGCCTGAAGACCATCTTCGATGCGGGCATGAATTTCAGCTCCATCTTCTCGCA